CTTCTGATTACAAGACGAACTGCCCACTCTTTGCCCCACAAAGGCTGTTCGTCTCCATAAAAGCACCAAAAACTGTCTCTTCAGGTTTGGAGTTGTGCTCGTGTTAGAAATAAGGTGCTCTTCAATATTTGGGAAAATGTAAGATGCTTACCAGCTGATAGAAGGTCAGTTTGGGTCCATCGTGGGCCGCCATGAACCACCAGGCAGCAGCTCCCACTGTGGCAGCTCCCACATAACCTGTGGACAAACACAGTCACTGCGGTGCACTTTCAAAGCAGTTAAACAAGAATACAGAAATCCTGTGCTGTGCATGTAATCTAGCTTCATCCTGGTTCAAACATGAAAGGGACGATGCTCCCAATATGGCAGGAGGTGAGCCACTCACATCCGATGATGAGGTAGCGGCAGAACAACCAGCTGGAGATGAGCGGCTCCTTCGGGGAGCGTGGAGGACGAGACATGATGTCCAGGTCCGGAGGGTTGAAGCCCAGAGCGGTTGCTGGGAATCCATCGGTGACCAGGTTGACCCACAGCAGCTGGACGGGGATCAGAGCTTCAGGCATGCCCAGTGCTGCTGTCAGGAAAATACTGCGGACAGACGGAGAGCAGGGATCAGAGAGGAGGCGTCTGGTTGATCACAAACACGCACGGTAACGCCGCTTCCTGCTACTAACCAGACCACCTCTCCGATGTTGGAGGATATCAGGTATCGGATGAACTGCTTCATGTTGTTGTAGATGGCTCTGCCCTCCTCCACGGCAGCCACGATGGTGGAGAAGTTATCGTCGGCCAGGATCATCTCGGAGGCAGACTTGGCCACCGCTGTGCCGCTGCCCATGGCGATGCCGATCTCTGCCTTCTTCAGCGCCGGCGCGTCATTCACCCCGTCACCTGTCTAAACCGTCGAGAACCATTAGGTGACAACAGCAGACAGCCCGAGCAGGTGATGAGCACGCGCTCGCTCTCTCACCATGGCCGTGATGTCGTTCAGGCTCTGCAGGTACTCCACTATCCGACTCTTGTGGGCCGGCTCCACCCGGGCGAAGCAACGGGCCGTCTGACAGGCCTGACGCTGCAGGTGTGGGGGCAGCTCGTCAAACTCCCGCCCCGTTAGGCCCCCGATGACCCCCGCGCCCTCCTGCTCTTCCTCCTGCTCGGTGATGATGCCCACTCGCCTGC